CACCTACACTCTTCTCGTCTCCCTCCTTCTCTGCTTCCTTTGCACTTTGCTATTTATTGGTCGACCTGAGAAAATGATGTGTCTTCTTCAACAAACTGCTTTTGGCATCATTTTCTCAATGGCTGTTTCTTGTGTTTTGGCCAAAACCACCATTGTGGTTCTCGCTTTTATGGCAACAAAGCCAGGGTCAATCATGAGGAAATGGGTTGGGAAAAGACTGTCAGCCTTCATTGTTCTTTCCTGCTCGTTTATTCAAAGTACTATTTGTACTGTTTGGCTAGCAACCTCTCCCCCTTTCCCAGATTTTGATGTGTACTCAATGACTGAAGAAATTGTACTACAATGCAATGAAAGGTCCAGTGTCATGTTCTACTGTGTCTTGGGGTTTATGTGTTTCCTGGCTGTTGTTAGTTTCACTGTAGCTTTCCTAGCTAGGAAGTTACCAGACAGTTTTAATGAAGCCAAATTTATCACCTTCAGCATGTTGGTTTTTTGCAGTGTGTGGTTGTCTTTTGTTCCAACCTACCTGAGTACTAAGGGCAAATATATGGTAGCTGTGGAGATCTTTTCCATTTTAGCCTCCAGTGCTGGTTTACTGGGCTGCATCTTTTCCCCTAAATGCTATGTCATTTTGCTGAGGCCTGATTTGAACAATAGAGATCAGCTTGCAAGAAGAAATTTTAAATAACGAACTCACTAATGATCAAGTTTATAATTCTGGTCCAGGTTAATTTAGCTGCAAGTCTTATTGTTTGCAAGGGGACTTGCTGGTCTGTTTTCAAATTTTCAGCTATTAATTATCTTTTGGGACTGATGCATTTATTTGGAATAGCATGATTTTTTTAGGATGCTGTCACAAAATGACTGTTATAGGGGCATGCCCATTCCCAGATTGGTAGCTTTTTCAATTGCTCAGTCACAAAAAAACCCAAGCTGGTTCCTCTGTATTCAGATAAACATGATTTCTTCAAAATCTTTAGTAATTGATTTGAAATATATACAAAAAACATTGTACATTCTACATTCATTATACGGTAGCGATTTATCTCATTTTCGAGTAGTAACTCTGTCACGCTGTGGTGAATTAATCAACACAGAGTCTTCTTCATAAACAGAATAAAAGTTTACTGAAGTAAATAAGCTTGTTCAGAAACAGCATAGTTAAAGAGCATACACAGAGTGCTCATAACAGCTTTCTTAGTCTTCACAGAGGCACAGATCTTAGTTACTGATTAACTGTAGTCCTGGAGCTGCTCTTGTCTGCAACAACACAACATATTGGCTGAGACACACACACACTACACTGAGGCCCACAGAGATGTCTGGTTACATTTATAGGAAACCCAAGGTGAGTCACGAGTCACTGTGACACAACATTTTACTGCTAACAGCTAGGCTTGAAAGATTTGTGTAGGCCTCGTAGGCCACACTGCCTAGGCCTTGCCTGCTTCTGTTCTCAAGAACCTTCATGACAAACTCAGCACTACTACATCCTGGCCTTGGTATTTGCTCTAAAAGAGATAAATGTGCCAAACTGTCCAGTATGATGGCTCAACCTTGAATGGGTGCCATATAAAGAGTGAGGTGAAACAGAGCTGTGTTCTCATTCCAACTCTATTTGGCATATTCTTCTCCCTATTGCTCTCACAGGCTAGTGTGTACATCAACTCAAGGAATGCTTGGGTTCTAGTCAATCTGGCATGACTCCAGACAAGGCAAAAGTGTGGTGGGTCCTTATCTGAGAGATGTTTTTTGAAGATAATGCAGCCTTGACCTCACACTCTGAGGAAGCTCTATAGAGACACATCAACCATTTCACATGCAAAATGAAGGGAGATAGTAGTAATGGGGGACTTCAATTACCCGGATATTTGTTGGATGTCAAACTCAGCCAAGAGCATAAGGTCAAACAGATTCCTCACTGCCCTTGCAGACAACTTCATTGTCCAGAAAGTGGGAGAAGCAACAAGAGGAACAGCCATTTTAGATCTGGTCCTAACCAATGTTGATGACCTGGTTAGTGGGGTAGAAGTGGAAGGATCATTAGGCGCGAGTGATCATGCTCTTCTGAAGTTTACTATACAGCGGAAAGGAGCAGCCAAGCATACTAGGACTCAATTTCTCGACTTTAAGAAAGCCGACTTCATAAAGCTTAGGGAAGTGCTGGGTGAGATCCCATGGACACTAATACTAAAAGGAAAGGGAGTTCAAGATGGCTGGGAGTTTGTTAAGAGGGAGATAGTAAAAGCACAACTTCAGGCAATACCAATGAGACGGAAACATGGAAGGTGCCTAAAGAAGCCAGGGTGGCTATCTAAAGAACTTTTAACTGAGTTAAGATTAAAAAAGGATGTGTACAAAAAATGGAAAAGGGGGGAAACCACCAAAGAGGAATTCAAACAAATAGCCAGCACGTGTAGACACAAAGTCAGAAAAGCTAAAGCACAAAATGAACTCAGGCTTGCTAGAGAGGTTAAAAGCAACAAAAAAGGCTTTTATGGGTATGTTCGTAGCAAAAGGAAGAACAAAGAAACCGTGGGGTCACTCAGAGGAGAAGATGGTGAAATGCAAACAGGGGACACAGAAAGGGCTGAACTCCTCAATGCCTTCTTTGCCTCAGTCTTCTCCGATAAAGAAAACAATGCCCGACCTGAAGAATTTGGAGCAAATGATTCAGCAGAGGAAACACAGCCCAGAATAACTAAGGAGATAGTACAAAAATACTTGGCTAGTCTAGATGTATTCAAGTCTCCAGGGCCAGATGAACTGCATCCAAGAGTATTAAAAGAACTGGCAGATGTGATTTCAGAACCACTGGCAGTCATCTTTGAGAATTCCTGGAGAAGAGGCGAAGTCCCGGCAGACTGGAGGAGGGCAAATGTTGTCCCTATTTTCAAAAAGGGGAAAAGAGAGGACCCAAATAATTACCGCCCAGTCAGTCTGACATCAATACCAGGGAAGATTCTGGAGCAGATCATTAAGCAAACAGTCTGTGAGCACCTAGAAAGGAATGCTGTGATCACCAATAGTCAGCATGGATTTCTGAAAAATAAGTCATGTCAGACTAACCTAATCTCATTTTTTGACAGAATTACAAGCCTGGTAGATGAAGGGAACGCAGTGGATGTAGTCTACCTTGATTTCAGCAAGGCATTTGACAAGGTGCCCCATGATATTCTTGTAAAGAAGCTGGTAAAATGCGGTCTTGACTATGCTACCACTCAGTGGATTTGTAACTGGCTGACTGACCGAACCCAAAGGGTGCTCATCAATGGTTCCTCTTCATCCTGGAGAAGAGTGACTAGTGGGGTGCCACAGGGTTCTGTCTTGGGCCCGGTCTTATTCAACATCTTTATCAACGACTTGGATGATGGACTCAAGGGCATCCTGATCAAATTTGCAGATGACACCAAACTGGGAGGGGTGGCTAACACCCCAGAGGACAGGATCACACTTCAAAACGACCTTGACAGATTAGAGAACTGGGCCAAAACAAACAAGATGAATTTTAACAGGGAGAAATGTAAAGTATTGCACTTGGGCAAAAAAAATGAGAGGCACAAATACAAGATGGGTGACACCTGGCTTGAGAGCAGTACATGTGAAAAGGATCTAGGAGTCTTGGTTGACCACAAACTTGACATGAGCCAACAGTGTGACGCGGCAGCTAAAAAAGCCAATGCAATTCTGGGCCTCATCAATAGGAGTATAGCATCTAGATCAAGGGAAGTAATAGTGCCACTGTATTCTGCTCTGGTCAGACCTCACCTGGAGTACTGTGTCCAGTTCTGGGCACCACAGTTCAAGAAGGACACTGACAAACTGGAACGTGTCCAGAGGAGGGCAACCAAAATGGTCAAAGGCCTGGAAATGATGCCTTATGAGGAACGGCTAAGGGAGCTGGGCATGTTTAGCCTGGAGAAGAGGAGGTTAAGGGGTGATATGATAGCCATGTTCAAATATATAAAAGGATGTCACATAGAGGAGGGAGAAAGGTTGTTTTCTGCTGCTCCAGAGAAGCGGACACGGAGCAATGGATCCAAACTACAAGAAAGAAGATTCCACCTAAACATTAGGAAGAACTTCCTGACAGTAAGAGCTGTTCGACAGTGGAATTTGCTGCCAAGGAGTGTGGTGGAGTCTCCTTCTTTGGAGGTCTTTAAGCAGAGGCTTGACAACCATATGTCAGGAGTGCTTGGCAGGGGGTTGGACTCGATGGCCCTTGTGGTCTCTTCCAACTCTATGATTCTATGATTCTATGATTCACGCAAGCCTGCATGGAGTTCAGTGTTACCAGCAGCCTGGTCAAGACCAACATCCTGGGTCACCAGCACTCCATGCCTCAGCATTAGTGATCACACACTTGAGGTGGTAGACAATTTTGTATACCTGGGTTCCACTATAATCTTAACCACTCCATCAATACTGAGCTGCACAATTTATTGGGGAAGTATTCCATTGCTGAAAAACTAAGCACTGCTTTAGTTTGTACCTTTTGCAAAACATGATGCCACTTTGACAAATAAAGAACTGCCCATTCCTTTGTGTTCCATTTTCTCCATTATCTGGGGCTTGCTACAGGTCATTGCAAGCCTTTGTGTCTCTTGCTGCAGATAAACATTGAAACTTTCTGAAGATGTGTGATAAACATGTTTTCTTCTGCAATGTTTCACACAACCCCTAACTCTGAGCATGCAATTTTCTCCCCTGCAATTATTTCAAATTTACCATTGTTCGTTCAACTTCTTCATCATGTCCCAAAGGATTCCTGGTAGCCAAAAGCACAACTATAAACCACAAATGAAGGACTAATTCAGAGCTAAGACTTGGTAAAATTGGGATTCCATGATTCTAGTCACTAAAGCTAAATCCTGACTTCAGATCATGAAATGATACACTAAATGTGTGGTCATGCAAGTTGAGATGTGTTATACTCAAGGACAATTGAAGGACAATGTGTGAACAGTTGATAATTTCAAGAAGAAATGTTGGTGTGCAAAATGTTGGCTTTAATGGTGCTGCAATTTCTGCTGCTGCTTCAGACAGTGAGCGGCATTCCTACAGCCAAATGTGTGATTGGTAAACCTGCTCCTATTCTTCACAGGTATTATCAGTCAGGGGAGTTCACCATTGGTGTTATAATGTCTCAGATCTTCATCATTTATGACCTTATAACATTCAGAAGGCATCCCTCTCAGGAGTTGATTGATGACTTTATGTAAGGAGCTGAGTATGTTAACCATACCATACTTCTGTCCAAGTATTTTTGGATAGGGTGGGTTTGTTTAATTACAAAAATATATATAAATGATGTTTGTGTGTGTGTATTTTTAAAAAATATCTAAAAGGTGTATAGAAAATAGTATATATATTTTTTAAATCAACACATTATATATAAATAACTTATGATGTCTATATAGGTTATTTCTAAAAAAGAAAAATGCTTTCTAGCAAGCATCTAAAACAACCACAACCACCACCACACCACACAACAACAACATATGCCACCCATCTGCCTAGGTTTCCCAGTCTCTCTGGGAGGCTCCCAACAAAAAATAATAAAAACATGGCACAACATCACACTAAAAACTTCATTGAACAAGGCTGCCTTCAGAAGTCTTTTAGAAATCATGTAGCTGTTTATCTTCTTGACATCTGCTGGGAGGGTGTTCCACAGGGCAGGCGCGACTACTGAAAAGGCCCTCTGCCTGCGTATTGAGGTGGCCTGCTTAATGTAAATAAGGGAGTTCCAAAACATAGCTGCTGCCGGACTGACTCCTCACAAATGTGACACTTGTAAATGTGCATGTTCAGTTGTTGTTGTTGTCGTTTAGTCGTTTAGTCGTGTCCGACTCTTCGTGACCCCATGGACCAGAGCACGCCAGGCATCTCTGTCCTCCACTACCTCCCGCAGTTTGGTCAAACTCATGCTGGTAACCTTGAAATGTTCAGTATGTTCAGTAGTAGTTGATATATGTATCGGGAAACTAAAGAAACAGGCAATTCACCATTTACTCCAAAACCATAAAATAACACTCCTAACCAGAATCTACACACAAGTAGGCAATAGATTATCCACAGCCAAGCACTTTATTTCTGAAGGTAGTTTTTCTGGATTGCCTTTGCTTCACAAATAAAATGCCATATTGCAAGTTTTCTGTAGGATGGAGGACTACTCCCATAAGGAGTAAGCAAAATTACATTTAGGTTGTATTCAATTGCCTTCTCAAAGAACAGGATGTATATGCATCCATGTCTGCAGAATGAATTGAACATGAACTTTGTGCAGCATCTAAAAACAAGAATTTCCTGTTTTTCATTCTTTGAAAAATCATCTTTATGTGCACCAAAACAGTCTTATATGTCATATGGAGGGAACCTATCTATGCTATTAACACAATTGAGTCAGTGAGTATGAATTGTTTTGAACATTGAGCATGTGTGCCCATGTGCTATTGACTTCTAAACATGCTATGTCATTGAGCTAATATTTCTAGAAGTCAAATGCCCAGCTCTGTGAATCAGGGTTCCATCACCTAAACTGGAGGATACAATTTGCCTTAATGTAACATACTTAGGAAACACATCTTGAACCAAAAAATAATAAGTATTGGTCTCTGAAACTGCTGCATTCTAATATTTCACATGATTCACATTGCAGGATAGTGACACAAAACTACCAGCACATCTTGGCCTTAGTATTTGCAGTGAAGGAGATTAATGGAAACCCCCAAATCTTACCCAACATCACTCTGGGTTTTGATGTCTATAATAATCATTTTAATACAAAATTCACATACGAGGCCTCATTGAAAGTTCTTTCCACACACGACAAATTCATCCCTAACTACAAATGTGATAACCAGAACAAACTGGTAATGCTTATTGGAGGTCCTAGTTCCAACATCATTGGACAGGCCGCAACAATACTGGGCATCTACAAGATTCCACAGGTAAATTGTGTTTATGGAAACTATTTTTAAGATGCAGGTTTTGAGTTGGGAAGTGGAATGTGATATGACTGAAATTAAGAAAACCACTATGCATGCTGCTTAAAGGTCAAATTCTGAGTGAGGCATCTCAATTTGAGTGTGATTTCTTTCACACATGCATATGAAATGAGAGACCATATCTGATGAACAATCTTCATTTTGCTGGACACCAAAATGACAATATGCAAAATACAATTGTAGTTTACTCAGTGCAGACTCACTGTAGTTAATGGATATGACTAATGTAGATCCATTTCTCATAGTTGCTCTGCTTTAACTTAAACGTTAGGATTAGGGGTTCCTTCTGCAGAATCACCCCAACATAAATAGTCAAGTAGCCAATTTACCTAAGATCTCCCCACCTTCTTCCATTTAGGCTTGCCAGTGTCAACTTCCTCAACTTTCTCCTTGTCGTGCTTAACAAACTCCCTATAGAGCAGGGAGAAAGCATCGACATACCCCCCTCCCTTTCCAAATTCTCTCTTTAGTGGCCTGTAGAAGGTGAAAACCCAGAGGTTTCTGCAAAAGAAAGTGCCTCTCTCCTAAATAACCCATGGGGGTTAGAGGGAGTGCAGATGGTCCTGCATCAATGACTCTAAGGTGGTGGGCAGGGCAGCCAGGAAGGGCCTGATAGCTGAGGCTTGGTCTGATTCAGTGCAAGGTGGCTTTCAGTATTCCTAAATACAGCTTTACTTCAAACCCACTGCTGTTTTGCTTTATTCTTTTTAGATCGCATATGCTCCTGCTCCAGATACAAATAGCAAGCCCCAAGATGCTTTCTTCCACTGGATGTTCCCAAATGGGGCCCAGCAGCATAGGGGGATCCTCAAGTTGTTGCTGCACTTCAGATGGATCTGGATTGGAGTGCTTTACCTCAATGTGCACAGTTCAAAGATTTTTGTACAAAATCTGCTTTCCATGTTTTCCAACAATGGTGTTTGCTTGGACTTCGTCAAAACCATACCAGATATAGGATTTTCTAATCAACTGCATGAAATGGCAGAGGAGGCATGTGGGATTATAAATATCACCATGGAAAGCACAGCCAATGCAGTGATCTTTCATGGTGACTATCAGGCCATAATGAACTTAAGAATTTTGCTCGAGCTCTCGAAGTTCGAAGGTCAATCAGTGAGAACAAAGGTCTGGATTATGACAGCAGATGTGGATTTCACATCAATTCCCGTTCAAAGAAGCTGGGACATTCATTTCATCCATGGATCTGTATCCCTTGCAATCTCCTCAAAGGAGGTGGCAGGATTCCAGGAATTTCTGCAAATGAGGAACCCAACACTGGAAAAAGAGGATGGTTTCCTGTGGGACTTCTGGCAAAAGGTATTTGATTGCTCACTCCCCAGCTCTGATGAAGACAAGAGGGATGGAAATATCTGCTCTGGGGAAGAGAAACTGGAGTCTCTTCCTGGATCTGTTTTTGAAATGAGAATGACTGTCCACAGCTACAGCGTCTACAATGCCATCTATGCTGTGGCACATGCTTTGCATGCCATGTATTCTTCCATATCAAAGCGTAGGACAGTGATGAATGGAGATAGATGGAAGGACCAGAATAAGAAGCCACAACAGGTAATCCAACTCACTGAGTTCTGCAACTTGAGATTCCAATTTCTATGGCATTTCCCTCATCAGACAAAACAGGGATGTGCAACCCATTTTGTCACATAGACATAAACAATTAGCATCCAAAGATGGCAGTTTATATCTCTTTCTTTTTTCCAGCTCCCTCACTTTCTGAGAAGCACCCCGTTTAACAACAGTGCTGGAGAAGAGGTTGCCTTTGACTATAATGGGGAATTAGTAGCTGGATTTGATATTATCAACTGGGTGACATTCACAAACCAGTCCTTCCTTAGAGCAAAAGTTGGGAGGATAGATCCTCAGGCACACTCAGAGAATCTGTTCACCATTTCTGATGATGCCATCATATGGCCCAGCAGGTTCAATCAGGTAGGACCCATTTGCATTTAAACATATATTTAATTCCCTTCCCAATATCATGAGTAGTTCAGTCTTTAGAAAGTGACATTTGTTGGCCCTGCCTGCTTCGATCAAATTTGGGATCCTTTGGGAGGTAATGTATGATGTTTAGAATGAATGAACAAATGAACCTCCATTTCCAATTCAAGATTTGATTTCACATTTGAGGCATCTATCTTCACAGGAATACCATGTGCAATTGTATAAGCTTAGCAACCACCAAACCAAAAGGTCAATCAGAAAACAAAAGTTAAAGTAGCCTTCATCGTCTGCTGTGCTCCAGATGGATTGGTCTACAACTCCTGTGAAGTCCTAGGCAACAAGATTGCACTGGTGCTCTGAGTGAGTTGCAGTTCAAAAAGTCTGGTGGGCAACTGGTTGGCAAATGCAATTGTAAAGCATAAGGCCATAGTAAAGGAAACCAATTACAAATGGGTAGAAACATTGAAAAATGGCCCAATGTTGAGGTGCTGAAATAAAAGAGGGGGAAACTATATTTATTCTCATATTTTGACATTTTTTGTGTATGATAAACATTATATTCTTTCATTTGTTGACAGGCACACCCTATTTCAGTGTGTAATGACAATTGCCTTCCTGGTTATCACAAGACAAAGAACGAAGGGAAACCATTTTGCTGTTATGATTGTCATCCCTGTCCAGAGGGGAAGGTTGCAAACCAGAAGGGTAAGAAATGCTGTGTAAACATTATATTCGGCATTTATATGTCATGGTGCATAGACAAGTTACCATAACATTTCAAATTATTCATGCTTCTGGTGATGACTGAATAAATGCCACGTATTGTTAAAAAGGATGTGTTCCATTATGAGTTGTATGAGTAGGTATCATTGCTGAAAGCAAGGACCATTTGCCTTTTGAGAAATCTTAAGGCTCACAGGCCAGTGGTGGGCATGGCTAGAAGTAATTGTGGGGTGGAGCAAGTGTATGAAGAAAAGTTATTGTAGCACATCCAGACAAATTAAGGCATGATAACTCTGACTATGTGAAAGCTACTGCTGACACAGGAATGGAGTTATTACTGCTCTGAATCTATTATGATCGCATGAAAGCTTAACTGCATGAAAATAATGGAGCATTATATTTCAGCTTTTGGTTCAAACTATGTACAGCTGAGCATTGATTACTGATATTATCTATCTATCTATCTATCTATCTATCTATCTGGAATTTCATATGTATTTCTTCCAGATATGGATAGCTGCTTCCTGTGTCCAGAGGGCCATTATCCAAATATTAACAGAGATTTCTGCCTCCCCAAAACGATAACCTTCTTGTCTTATGAAGAACCTTTGGGAATAGGTTTGGCCATTGCTGCTCTCTCCCTTTCTTTCATTACAGCTCTGGTGCTGGGAACCTTTATGAAACACCACAAGACGCCCATTGTCAAAGCCAATAACCGGAGCCTTTCCTACACTCTCCTCGTCTCCCTCCTGCTTTCTTTCCTTTGTGCTTTTTTATTCATTGGTCGACCCAATGCAGTGACGTGCCTCCTTCGACAAACCGCTTTTGGTATCATCTTCTCAGTGGCTGTTTCTTGCATGCTTGCCAAAACCATCACCGTGATTCTAGCTTTCATGGCCACCAAGCCAGGATCCAAAATGAGGAAATGGATGGGGTGGAAAGTGGCTGCCTCTATTGTTCTTTCGTGCTTCCTTATTCAAGTCACTCTTTGCACTGGTTGGCTGGCAACCTCTCCACCGTTCCCAGAACTGGACATGCATTCAGCTATCAGTGAGACCATTGTACAATGTAATGAAGGGTCAGATGTAATGTTTTATTGTGTATTGGGCTTCATGGGTTTCTTGGCTACTGTCAGTTTCACTGTGGCTTTCCTAGCCAGGAAGTTACCAGACACTTTCCAGGAAACTAAATCAATCACCTTCAGCATGTTATTGTTTTGCAGTGTTTGGCTATCCTTCTTCCCTACCCACCTGAGCACCAAAGGCAAATACATGGTGGCTGTTGAGGTCTTCTCCATCTTGGCTTCCAGTGCAGGATTATTAGGTTGTATCTTTTTCCCTAAATGCTACATCATTTTGCTGAGACCTGATTTGAACAAAAAGGCACATCTAATAAAGAGAATGATTTGACCATCTTTTGCTTTGGCCTGTGCTTGAGATTACTTTCCGTTATTATTGTTTGAGTTTCTCTTTCTGCAGGGGTGGTAATAAGTATTAGTAATTCTGTGGCAGATCTCCTCAGCACATTTTAGGTGTTCATTGGAGAGAAGAAAATGGTCAGTTGTCATATTTTCATAATGATAATGACAATATTATATTTATGATGGTGATTCAGATTGTGTTGATTTGGAGCTGTCTGCAAATGCCTCAGGCAAAGCAAGAATCCCACCAAACTGGCAGAATTTGGTTTCTGTTTCAGCCTCTGGCTGAATCCTGTGCACAGCCCTGTCAGTCTACACCTTGGGTAAAACATTATGCCATTTCAACACGAGGGCATTTCCAACCTTCCATATCTTTTCTGGCATTTTTTATGAGTCATTGCAAGCCTTTGTGTCTCTTGCTATTCCATTGCAGTGAATCAGTGAAACTTTCTATGGACACACAGTAAACATATTTTGTTCTGCTTTGTTCCATACAGTATCTAACTCTAAGCATGCAGTTCTCTCCCCTGTAATTATTCCAAATTAACCATTATTGATTTGACTTCGTCCTCATGTCCCAAAGGAGTTACGGTTGCCAGCTGTAAAAAAATATGAAGCAAGATAGAAGAATGTCATTAACACACCCTGGTGTATTCAGAACCTGGACTTAGTGAAGTCAGGACTCCATTATTCTGATAACTGATACTTCATCCCAACTTCAAACTATAGCATAAAACACTGATTTTGTGGTTGTTAGTGAGGACTATGCTCAGGGGCACTCAAAGGACAATGTGGGAACAGGTGAAGGATTGCCATTGTACAAGATGCTGATATTTGTGGTGTTGGGATTACTGTTCCTCCCTCAAACAGTAAGCAGGATATCTGCTGTTAAATGCGCAACGAGTGAGCCTATTCCTATTCTTCACAAGTATTTTCAATCAGGGGAGCTCACTATTGCTGGCATAATTTCTCAGATCTACATCCTTTATGATCCAATCACATTTGAAAGACATCCCTATCAGGAGCTGATTGATGATTTCATGTAAGGAACCGAGTCTGTTAGCCTTCCCATGCCTTTTTCCAAAGTAATTATTTTGGACTAGTGTGGTTTGGCATTGACTGCAGTAGAGTGGAGGTTTACTTAAACAAATTCATTTATGCGTTGGAGCTTTAAACTACTTAATGAAAAGTTCTGTAATACTGTACATAATAAAAATCAGCATAACTAAATAATATGTGAGGGCCATATGGGCCAACAGTGAGAGTTGTTGTGACCATTGCTATCTCTGAATAAGCAGAAAGAATATGTTTTGTAAGCATATAAAACAGTGCAATGAAGATGTCTGCCTAATATTAAAAGGCAGCACATTCTAAAGCACAGTTGCTATCACATGGAAGATAAACTCCTACTCAGAAATGCAGAACAAATATTAAATGACATTTGTAAATTTGAAGGTTACTACCAATGCATCCTTCTTTGTTCAAAAAGGTTTCCAAACTCTGCTTATGCTACATGTCTTTGTAATAATAATAATAATAATAATAATAATAATATTGTAGTAGTTGAGGTAGATGTAGCACCATTATCAAAGAAACAGGTAGTACACCTAGCACCCCACACATATAGATGCATATATCTACCTGATATTGACACATAATCGTGTGTGAGCAGAACGAGAATATCCACAGCCAAACACTGTGTGCTCATTAATGAAACTCACCCACTTCTCAGAGAAAGTGCCGTGCCAGTTGTGAACGCATCCCTGTTTGTCACTCAACCCAAAATCAGCTGCATCTGTTTTCTATATAATAAGTAAGAACCATATCTATGCCAGTACTCCTGTGAGTTAGTGAGTAGTAATTGTATTGAACATATGGGTCAATATGCTTCCAAACTAGTGGCTCTGGGCCAGTGTTATTTCCATTGAGCTGAGGCCTACAATCTTTCTTAATGCAATTATGCTTAGCAAACGTATGTTGAATAGAAATGCAGCTACTATTTTCCCCCTGAGATTGCAGCACTCTTTCATTTCATGTGATCTTCGTTTCAGGCTACTGTCACAGAACTACCAGCACGTTTTGGCCTTGGTATTTGCAGTGAAGGAAATCAACGACAACTCCCAAATCTTACCCAACATCACTCTTGGCTTTGACATCTATAATCATTACTTTAATCCACAATTCACAAGTCAGGCAGCATTAAAAGTTCTCTCCACACATGACAAATTCATCCCTAACTACAAATGTGATGTCGAGAACAATCTGGTAACTGTCATTGGGGGACCCAATTCCAACATCATTGGACATATTGCAACCATACTGGGCATCTACAAGTTTCCACAAGTAAGGCATGCAAATGGGGATTATTTTAAGATGAAGGTTTTGAATTTGGAAGTGGAAAACGATGTGATTGAAATTAAGAAAGACACTTTGCATGCTGCTTAAACATCAAATTCTGAGTGAGGAATCTCAATTTGGCAATTTGATTTCTTTCTCATATGTATAGCCTCTGATACAACATGTGACATCACCTCAGAACACATGGTAAATAGCCTAGTTGGCTGGTTTCTAAAAACTTCCAACAGTAACATAATAGAACAATATGATAGATTGTGATTCCACAAAATGCAAAGGATGAATGCAATTCAAGTTTACACAGAGTAGATTCATCATAATTAATGAAAGTCACTAATGCAGATTTATTTATTTCTATGGAACTGCCCTGAGTAAAACATAACTGCATACAACTCTAGTTACTTATTTACAAATGAAATGTCAGAACAACAGGCTTGGAGTGAGGATGGCAGAAGAGAGAAATAAATTCTACCTGACAGAAACTCCTGGGAGCCAGACTGATATCCTTTGGATCTGCATGCAGTTGCCCCACCTAATAAGTCACAGGACTGCAGTTTACAGGATCTAATTTGTCAGTGACTTCTCTCAGTCTATGGAATGAATCTGTCCACCATGACTGTCTAGTGAATCAGTCTGTGGTCATTAGTGCTTTGAGCAAAAAGAGTATTGATCAGCTTCACTGTGTTCCTGTACCTCTCACAGTCATGAGTTACATTCATTTCAGGGATAGATTGAGATAATTAGAGAAAGGAAGGTTTGCATACTCTTTTTGTCCATTAAATAGATCCCATACATGGCCTCTGGGCACAATCTTGGTCTCCTTTTAAGTCACCCACACTCGTCCGGCAGCATATCAGTCTCCCAACATAGGCAGTGGGTTTTTCAGAGCATCAAAGGTCAATACAGTGGTACCTCGGGTTACAAACGCTTCAGGTTACAGACTCTGCTAACCCAGAAACAGTACCTCAGGTTAAGAACTTTGCTTCAGGATGAGAACAGAAATCGCGCGGTGGCGGCAGGGCAGCAGTGGGGTGCCCCATTAGCTAAAGTGGTGTCTCAGGTTAAGAACAGTTTCAGGTTAAGAACGGACCTCCGAAACGAATTAAGTACGTAACCAGAGGTACCAATGTACTCTTATTGCTAGAGTGAATTTTTATAGCTAAGATTTATGCCTTGGCTATAACCAAGCAAAATGTAATCACCTCACCTGGGGAACTGCTAATAAAAGACACTCAGTCTGACATGATATCCTCTCCAGAACTATGACTTGCCCTCCAGTTGTGGCTTCCTTCCTCCACTTTGATCCCCAAGGATAACTCTTGGTTCCTTTTTCCTGCCCTGACTCAGTCTTATTGACTCCGACCTGCCATGTCTCTAGCCTTTCCTCCTGTATCTCTATTTTAGTTCTCTATTCATACAACCAGGCTCAATGCTTCATGATGGCTAATGAAACCTTCCTGAGGAATACTTCAGTCAGTAGAGCAGGAAACTCCTAATCTCGGGGTTGTGGGTTCGAGTCCCACATTGGGCAACATATTCCTGCATTGCAGGGGGTTGGACTAGATGTTCCTCGTAGTCCCTTCCAACTGTAAAATTTGAGGGTTCTTTGATTCTATGAATATATACTGAAGACAGAAATAAATCTTTGGGAACTGACCTGATGCTTTCAAGATAGGACAGTGGTGCCTCGGGTTAAGAACTTTATTTGTTCTGGAGGTCCGTTTGTAACCTGAAACTGTTCTTAACCTGAGATACCACTTTAGCTAATGGGGCCTCCCGCTGCTGCCATGCCGCGGCATGATTTCTGTTCTCATCCTGAAGCAAAGTTATTAACCCGAGGTACTATTTCTGCAGAGTCTGTAACCTGAAGCGTCTGTAACCTGAAGCGTCTGTAACACGAGATACCACTGTACCAGATTTTGATAATACACACACACAGAAGGGCTGTGGCTCAGTCACAGAGCATCTTTCTTGCATGTGGAAGATCCCAGGTTCAGTCCCCCAGCTTCTCCCTGTAGGGCAGTGAGAGACCTTTGTCCATAGCCCTACACATCTGCTGCCTCTCATTGTAGATAAAGCTAAGTGAAATGGACCAGTGGTATGATTCAACAGAAGGCAGCTTCCTATGTTCCTAAATAGCACCAATTCCCACCTGCTCCTTTTTTTATTTCTTGTCTTTAGCTGATATATGCCTCTGCTTCAGAGACAAATAACAATGCTGAAGATGCTTTCTTCCACTGGATGTTCCCAAATGGGGCCCATCAATACAGGGGGATCCTCCAGTTATTGTTGCATTTCAGGTGGACATGGATTGGGGTGCTTTACCTTGATGTGGACAGTTCTAAGATATTTGTACAGAAGGTGCTTTCCACATTTGCCGATAATGGTATTTGCTTTGATTTCATCAAAACCATACCAGATATAGGATTTTCTAATCAACTCCATGAAATGGCAGAGAGGGCATGTGATGTTATAAATATTACCATGGAAAGCACAGTCAATACCGTGGTCTTCCATGGTGACTTTCAGGCAATGTTAAACTTAAGAATCCTGCTCAGGTTCTCACAATTTGGGGATGTACCAGTGAAGATGAAGGTCTGGATTATGACAGCAGATGTGGATTTCACATCAATT